CCTCTGTAATCCAGTTTGTCCTGTTGGGAGGCATGAATGATCTTTGCATAGAACTCATTCATACCTTAAGTAATAGGTCTTGGAAAGAAAGGCCAAGAAAAAATGAAAAATGTGTCACACTGGGCCGGCCCGGTGGCGCGCTGCGCTAGTGCGCCTTCAGTCCATAACATTTACTGTCTCCAGAGAGTTCACACTCCCCTGCCCTCCTCTGTAATCCAGTTTGTCCTGTTGGGAGGCATGAATGATCTTTGCATAGAACTCATTCACACCTTAAGAAATAGGTCTTGGAAAGAAAGGCCAAGAAAAAATGAAAAATGTGTCACACTAATTCAAGTGCCTGGGACATCTCATTTGTTCTAAAAATAGTAATAGTGATGATGATAAATATTTAAAAAGAGAATCACAAGTACACATTAAAAAAAAGGAAGGAAAGAAATCAGAGCTGGGGCACAGTCATTATCACCCAGGGTAGATGTCCCACAGCAAGGGGTTCTTCTACCTTCCTCTGATGTGTCCTCCTGATTTTCTGGCTCTTCTCTTCTTAGCCAAAACCAGTCCCACTGCCTACCACCAGGCTTACTGATCTCCTCTCATCCCTGCGCCACACCACATCCACCGAGTGCTGCTCCTCTCTTTCCTGAGCCCATTTACACCTTTCTCTCTTTCCTGTGCTCAGCTTAAGGTAGATACCTCAAGTGGCGTATTGATTGCATAATTTTTGCCCCCTTTATTTTCTGAAATGATTTAATCGCATGCGTAACTTCCAACATTTCTACTTTATTGGTTTAGGGTGTGTGTAACTTCCAGGTTTGTTGCTATTCTAGGTCTAAACCTTAAGAAATATAAAATATTACGGTAATTGTTTTTGTGCTTCTTAAAGAGAGAAAAATTTGAACTTTATAATCGGTGAGTCCATTCTATACAGAAAACGTATTCAGGACTACAAGGAGTTTAGCACTGTGCTAGATGCTATGTAACATAGAAAAGAATTAAATGATAGCCCTATCTGATCTTGGTTTGTTGCAGGAGGAAGATACACAAAAGAAAAATAAGACAGTATGTAATAAAGAACCAAATGGAATATAAACAAGTATTAAAGTACAATGGATCTTTAGAAAGGGTAGAAATCTATTGCTAGAGCTACCATATATTTGGGACAGGGACTCAGGTGCCTAGAGAGGTGGGAGGGCATTCGATCTAGATATTAAAGCACCAGACATAAGTAAGTACATAGAAGAGTAATGACTGATTCATGAAATAGAAAAAACAGATATCTTTTACAAGGTTTAGTTCAGTTTTGTGAAGGATCCTACAGGCAGGTAAGTCTTTGGTCTACTGAGAAATGCAGCCACTGGACTCCCTTGAATAACAAACAGCATGGAGTTTTTCCAACTAGTTAAAATGAACAAGGGCACTGGTCAAAAAGTTAGAAACCAGTTTGTAAACTATTCAGTTATTAATAAATGACAAAAATAACTCAGAATAATGCTTCGTACAAGACAAGCACTCAATAAAAATGTTAGTTATTATAATTTCAAGGACTGGTATGGTAGCAGTGGGAAGGTTGGGAAAATAAATCTTATTGGCAAAGGAAACAGTGAGATCAGTTTCAAAAGTATCAGGAATCACTTCATGAAGATAACTCCCCAATTTTTTGAGCCTTGGTTATCTACAAAAGGCTGAGGAAAGAGGATAAGTCTTACAAGGTTAACTTCTAGATTTTCCTGCAGGAATGCATATTTAACTACTGTGAAGAAAATGTAGTTATTTGTATAATGCTTCTCATTTTCAGTTCACAGCCAGTACTTTGGGAATGATCCTGAAGAACTGGCCCACTTGTAATTCCATTTCAACGTTTCAACTCTATTCCAACATGTATAAAAATTTTCAAATTGCTTCATTGAGTAAATGAGCAAACGTATAGTTGTCCTAGACTTAGGATTAGAGACCTGGACTGAAATCTTAGCTTCATTCTGGGTAACCTTGAGCATGTTACTGAACCACTCTGAGCCTGTTTTATAAAATGGGATACAAATTACCCAAAGGTTTGTCATGAGGACTCAATGACATTAACCCATTCAACACCTGGGCCTTATACTTGTCAGTATTCAAAAAAATTTCTTCTCTGTCCCTCAGTAAAATAGGAGTTACATTCTCTAACCATATCTACCTGCTCACACTTTTTAAGTTGAAATAGAATGCAAAGAAAGAGTTGGACAGTGAAATGTAAATGGGAAAAACAATTATCTTTTATAAGAAATAGTGATATAAAAACTGCTTCACCTTGGGATTCACATTGGCAATCTTTTAGAGAAGTAAATGAGAAAACTCACTTCCCACCAGATCTACCCATGGAAAGATGATCTCCAATAAGTAAATTCTTCATCTCCACTTCCAGGGTACCATTTAAGGTCCATCACACACTCGTATCATCGAACTCACTCTGAGACTACTCAAGCACGCAGGTTTCTTGCTAGGAAAAGCAAGCTACAGACCCCTAAAGGTTGAGTGAATTTGGGGCTATTTTAACATCAAAAAACATTAACTAAAACACAAATGGGAGAAAAAATAACTGAGATTTCTTGAAAAGATACTTTGTGAAATCTGGAGGCAACATGATTATGAACAGTTAAAATCTATTCATTCCTAGATTCATCTAATTAAATAAATGCTTTGGATCCTAGTCACTCATTAGTGGTTCACATACAGAAAATATTTTTAATATTAGCCTAAATTAAGTGTATGTGGAGACTACTACTCTTGGGGAAAGGAAATACAAACCTTACCTATCTTTATCCACATGATTACTGGGATAAAATTCATTAATTTCAGTGCAAATTCCAGAATTTTATTTAACCATTAAGGAAACTTTAATGCCCTACAATAATAATAGAATTTAAGTTAACAGAAAATTTAAAAAATTAATAAAAAGACTGAGTACAAACTATCTTAAGACATTAATCAAACTTTTAATGAATCAATTTATTGCATGTCAGTACAGAAAAATATAAAGTATATTTTAAAAGAAATTTATTGAAAAAAACAAATGTAAATGTTTGCTTGCCATGATTAGCACACAATGTACTAAAACATTCAAATTTGAGTTATAAAATTTTATTACTGCTTCAAATAAAATATGTCAAATAACAAAAATATGATTTACATTATGAAATTGGATTAACTTATTTATATTGAATATACTTAAACATGTCGAAGACAACTTGAATTTTCAGTATATGCTGTACTGACAGAAATTCTGCTATAAATTATGTCAAATACACACTGACCCGTTACATATGTATAGATGGCACTTTTTGTAAAAAAGTGTCCCTTATACATAGTTCTATTTTTAAACTACATTTTTAAGATACAAAATATAAATGGAGGTATATTTGAGCCATTTGGCAAAAATGTGTTGACTAGTATAAGGACTGCATTTATTTTGCCATACAAATAAATGTATTATTTCTGATTAGCTAAGACAATGTGCATATATGGTAATAAGAATAAACAGAAGTGCTTTTCATTTTCTACCCTATCAATTTAAAAAATAGATGTCTGTGCTTTGTCACTTCCAACTTTACCTGAGTGATATGAAAATACATAAATTTAAGTGGATAATCTAAAAGGGTTGTGAATAATTTTTTCTTTCAGAGTTTTTCTCTTATACTTATCGAACGTAACAAGAAAAAGAGAGAGGAGAAAAATCAGTGGAGGATTTCAGTATCTCAATTATGGCCTATATGAAAAAGTGACTTCTATGACATCCTTTTAAAAAGTTTATCTTATTTATTCCTAACCTCAAAGAGGAATAGGACTTAGTAATATAAACTACTGTTAAACTGTCTGAGGCTGCAAGGTAATTCATAAAAAGTTGAATATGGCCTTCATTCTTTAATTCCACCAAACCTATTACTACCCAAGTCAAATCTTACAAATATGAGAAATGAATACAAGGCATCAGATGGTATGGATTCCCAACAAAAAATATTAAAATTACTCCAGTGACCCATTACCAAAGCTGTAATTTGTGTAATTATCAAGTGTCTACAGCTCATCATGATAAATTTAAGCTGCCCTGTAATGAAATTCAGAACACCATTTTAATGAAAATGTTGATTTTACAGTTAAAAATATATTTGCAAAAACACAGGGTAGTTGCAATGTCAGGTGCCCCAGTCATTTTCTTTGTCAGAAAAGCTTTGTGTTCAAATGTTTTGTTTTGTACTAAGTTTCTTTTTCACCAACATCATCAGTTATTTCCTATAGTGACATTTAAGAACTGTGTCACGTTTCCCTTTCTAGATGCTTCTATCCTATTAGCATTTTCTTTTTTTTACCTGTCACAAATTATTTCTTCCCTGATTCTGCAGCATCTTTCCAGTATCCTTTTTTCTTCATTCTTCCTCCCAATAATCCTCTTTGAAATACCAGATTGTGGATTTTATTCTAAATTAACTGTATCTTACCATATTTAAGACCATTCCAGGATTTCCAAACTTACAGTAGTTTAATAATTTAAAATTCATTTGTAAAGTCCTATAGCTGCTCTGGGATAAATGAGCCAGAAATTAATACACAAGGTGGATGCACTTCCATCCCCACTAAGAGATGGGTCCAAAATGAAGAAGTGATTCATGAAGAAGACACATTTTACTAAGACCAATTGATTCAGCTACAAACTAAGAAATGTTTTAAAAAATGATGCCATAGGCTTCATGGACCCCTGATAAAAAGTTTGTTTTCCACCCTTTCCCATGTAAGAAAATTGTCTCAAACACAGAAGCTAGTAAAGGAAGATGTACTACAACCCTAGACACAGCCTGTGCCCTCTGCTGCAGAAAGAGAGCCTCTTTAAGAAAAGAATGAAGGTAGAGGATGGTACACAAGTACGCCACAACTTTTGAAGTCCTGGTTTAAAAGAATAAAAGAGATGGTTTATAAACCTGGAATATGAAGAACAAACAAAAAAAGCAGCATAAAAACAAAAACTGATGAAGAAAAAGCTTTTATACTTCATCAGCATAGTATTTACAACTAAAGTTGATAAATTCCTCCACAGTGTAGCAGACTAAATGATTTCATGCAAACATAAGAAGGTACTTTGTAAACTTTAAAAAATAAGTATAAGGTGTGCCAGGTAAGCTCATGTCTAAATATAGATTTTGTTGTCTTAATTTGTTGTATTAATTTTTTTCTTTAATACATTACTACTTAGGATAGTCATTCTATGTAACAATAATCAACAAATGAAAAGTAGCCTTTAATTGTGGTGAATTTATACATACAAAATATACCTTCCACTATATGTTACCAACTCTTTTTAAAAAGCACGGCTTTTACAATTAATAATTTATAGAAAAACATTATTCTATAGAAATCATACTTGCTATAATTTATTTTTTCTAAATACTGGCAATAAAGTGAATAAGAATGCTATTTAACAAAAGTATTTCTAGCCCTATCTCCATGAAAAGAGTTTTAAATTGAGGTCAAGATTATTGACTCATTATTTCTCTGCTCTTGCTGCTTGCAGAAAGCCAATAAATATAGCTAAAATATTCAAAATGTTATATGTTAAAGCTGACGTAATAATGTACAGAGCTCAATTATATCTAATTTTTGAGGACTGCTTGAAACAACTTGGCACAATTATGCCTCTGAGCTTATAATTTTATTAAGGTAAATCCTGCAAGTTTCAAGGGACTTTAAGTAAGAATTTTCTTACTCTTCTATATGTCTAAATACTATTTCCCACCTACAGCTATTAATTATTAAACGTGGTAATAGGTTCTATGTCAAAACGATCCACAATGCCTTCATTCCCACATTCCTACATGTAAAAAATTTTAGAATGAATTAAGACTCCTAAAATTATCTTTTGACACAGGAGCTCTGTGGAATTAATTGGAATATTAAACCAAGCACAGTTTTTTTGCTTTTGTTTTTGCAACTTTTATTTTTTAAAAAGTCCAATGAATGACATCTCTCCTTAGGTGGGTTAGCTATATCTAGGTACTGGGACTCAAAATCAAATGTGGGAATTTTTGTAAAATGGTATGTACAATCATGTAACAATAAACCTTCCTAACTTAATTCTTAAGCAAATTCTAATCTTCATTGTGACTGCTATTAGTAGTTCAGTTGTAGACATACAAAATTGACAGAAGCTAAAATTTTCTTTGCCACCAAAAGTACAAATGTTAAAAAGTTCAAATACGCATGGCAAAGCTGCAGTAAAATTCTAAATTTCTATTTCTACATGCCATGATCCAGACTTATACCTAACAAAAACACAGTACATTTATATTGGAAAACAGGGTCCCATTTATTTGAAGAAAAAGCTGGATCTCGGCACTGACCACAGCAAAATTCAATGGCAACCTGCACATAGGCCTCAATTTCACTTCTTGCCAAAAACAAAATAGAGTTTACATAAAAATAGATATAACTCAGGAAACCATATACATTAGTATATGGCCAGTGCTATTTACATTAAAAATGTTGCATTGCATAATTCAAGGAATAAAATACCATCATGCATTTCATTATAACTTTTAAGGTAAAAAATGCAGTTACAGAACTAAGTTTGCTTTCCATGATTGTCCCAATATTTACTAAAGGAATAATACCCAAAGGTTTCTTGTTTACATATCTCCTTTCATCCCCAGCTATTAATCTAAGTGTAACATAGATTATATCACTTTAGCAACAAGAAACTTTTGAATAATCTCTATTATACTGACATATTAAACTAAGGATATGAATACATAACCACACTGAAAGTTTTGATGAAAATGTATGAAATAATCCCAAGAACTGTAGTTCTTCAAATGTAAAAAAAACGATTTGGATCATCTTAAAGGAGCACTGAAGTCCTTTCAAAGTTTAATGTCCCTCTTCAGACAAGTACAGACATACACTTCTAGAAACGAACATTCTTTATCATTCTGAACAACTTAAAATACAGCGCATTAACTTAATAAGGGGAACATTATATAATTGTCACATTAGATGAAGTCTTTGCCATTTCTTCAGGAGAGTGACTCTTTACAACTTCTTTGATGAACTGCTCCAGGGCAGTGAAATAGCCTTGGCACTGCCATGTGTCATTGTGAGTCCCATCTGGAAAAATGGCTAATCTCTTAGTCCGAGATGGGGAGAGTTCATAAAGTTGCTTCATCATTACTGGTGGGATTAATTGGTCAGAGAGTCCAGAGATGAAAAGTGAAGGCATTCTGCACTGAGAGATTTTTCTGTAGGACAAAAACTTATTTTTGTAGCACCATAAAGGAAGGTAACGCATTGGAAAGAATGAAAATAAAGTGCTGGCCATATGTGGTATGCTTAAAAATGTGTTCTCCACCATAATGGCTGAAATCCTATGTGAATTTTCGGAAGCCAAATGAATAGCCACTGCTCCTCCCAAGGAACGGCCAAAAAGAAAAATTTTTGTTTTATCAAGGTCAGGTCTAGTCATCACATAGTCTAGCACAGCTTCAGAATCTAAGTAGAGTCCTTCTTCGCTTGCCTCTCCTTCACTTTTTCCATATCCTCGATAATCAACAAGCAAAAGATTAACTTTGAGGTTCACCAACATGAGCAATGCATTTGGTAACCTGTGACCTATGTTGCCTGCATTCCCATGAAAATAAATTATAGTTGGGGAATAGGGTGAACTGTCTCCAGTGTACCTTATCAAAATAAGATTTAGACGTACTCCATCTTTGGTTCTGATGAAAATGTTTTCATGTGGAATACCAGTGGGCATGGGAACATAAAGACGTGAAGAGGATGGCTGTTCTGGAAAATAAAGTAATACATCCTGGAATTTATATAAGATACCAGCTATTGATACGAATATTAACAAAAGTAAGATAATGCCTCCATACAGATGAAAGGTCACTATTAAAGGTAAAAGAGAAATACGGCAGAGAGCCCAAGACCATGAAGCCAAGGCTATTAGCCATCTTTCAACAAAGTTCCACAGCATCCAGGACTTTTCCATTGTAGCTCTCTGTATATATCCTAGAGAGAGAGAGAGAAAGAGAGAGAGAAATCAATAATTCAACATATAACTATTATTTTAAAAGTAAGATCCACAATGTACTAACCTATACAGGGTGTATCCTTGGGAGCCTACATCAGTGCATCCACATAACTGGTGGCTGAGATTCCCCTGCCCCTTCTGTTCACGACGGTCTCCTTTCTACTGTACTCCTCCACAGTTGTATGTATGAAACATAAATATTCACCAAATTATATTCATTTTTTAAAAAGTGCTTATTTACTACCAGGTACTTTCATTTATGTATTCTCACTGATTTGACAGAAAGCTAAGTTGATGTCATACTCTCAAATTTTTCTATGAGGAAATGGAGGCTCTGGGGCATAAAGGAATTGGCCATCATCCCAACTCTCCAGGTGGAAGAGTAGGGGGGGCAGGCAAGTATGACTCCAAAACTCATGGTACATCTATTGCTAAGCTATGTACGTCTAGGACAAATTTCATTAAAGAGGTGGTTAACAGATTCTAATCTAGCAAGACCAATCCATTATAATTTATTGTCAATTTTCTTATGTTATAGAAAAAAATTATAACTAAACAAACTCGGGTAAGAAAGAATAAAAATATCTCCCCCTCTACCTGGAAGCTTTCACAGCTAAACTTACTTATTTAAATTAACCATTAGATTCAAATAGTGTATTATTTTTAAGAAAAGATTTCATGATTTGTCTTTCACACTTGATTAAAAATAAATTTCAGATATATAGTGTCATGAGATATGCAATATCTTTTATATCAATTCTTATTGAAGTTTCACACCATGTGGTCAACACAGATTGCTATGATGTACTGATAAGGCAAAAAAATACTTGGGGGATAAATGTAAAACAAACACGCAGAAATTCTCTGAGAACCAGAGATAAATGAAGTAAAGTGACTTCCTGGAAAAAAAATTTTTAAAGGTTACTGAAAAATATAACCAATATAAAAAAAATAAAAAACTATCAAAAGAATTTTCTTTGTTATCAAATCAAGAAGTTTATGTATGTTGTCTTAAAAAGGCAAAAAAAGAGAAGATATTTTACAAGTTTTCTTATGTGCTATTCATCTACTTATGTTTACTAACCATATTTTTAAAAATACTAAATTACATTTCACTGACAAAACTATCATAAAGAAATTATTCTTAATTTTTACAAATAATTTTTAATGACTGGTTTTAAAAATTTTATTTTATGTCAGAAGCTAACATATGTGACATTTGAGTATGTACCAAATTAGATTTAAACACTGGAAAAAAATCATAAAATCAAGTTAAATTATATTAGTTATAAAGACAATGAGTTGGATGAGTTAATAAATTTGCTTTTTCACTATTATTTCACTAAACCTAGACTTTCAGATTTAAATTCTTATTAAAACAAATTTTTTTTGAACATGAAGCAACAACATAGCAATTTTTCTTGTTTCCCAGAAATCAACACTGCCACCCACTGTTAGCAAGTATTACTACAGTGAGCACTACAAGTAATCAAAGGAAAAGCATGTATGGAGGGTAAAATAAAAAATCCAGTTTAAACAGTATATAAATAATACCTCAACACCAGTATTAAATCTGGATAAAAATTAGATTAAAATAAGATAAATTATAGCATCCAAGTAAAAAGCCTGAATTATTTCATCGTTCAGTAATCTACCATTGCTATTTGTCAACAGCTTAAATTAGACAGGACGACTTTAAACTCCTTTGTAGCACACAACATGCATATCTGGTCACTTAAACTTCTAATCTAATGTTTACTTAATTTTATTTTTTTTAAGTATAGTGATGTCTGAACAATTTTGGTTTGTGCCCAGAAATGTTTTGGGTTAATCTGAAAACACTGTCATTAACTTTATACATACACTAAAATACTTTTAATTTTTATGTAATGATTAGGACTAACAAAACAAGGTATGAGATTGAATATGTATACATTAGCACTGCAATATTTGACATAAAATACGATACTATTTTTGATATATTTTAATATTTTGCTATATATTAATATTTGATATAAAATAACACACTATTAAATAAGATGTACTATATGATACAATATTTGATAAAAGATACTATTGAAAATATTTCTTTAGTAAAAAATATAAAAATTTTACTGTTTTCTCATAGCCTAGTCAATCATTTATGACAGAGGTATCAGAAATACACTAAAATTCCATTACTCTTAAAGTCTTTGCTATGCCATATACTTGCTGAATTACTTTGTATTTATCACCTATTTCCAGGCTGAAAATAGGTGATAAAGACAAAGTAAGACGAGAATTTAAAAAAATGAGTAAAATGAGTATTTCAAAAACGAGAAAAATGGGAACTTAAAAAGTGCTTACATATAAGGCTGGTCAGCAATATCAAGTAAAATTAGTAACAAAAGCATTTATAAATGCTATAGACATATTAACTTTGCTTTTGTGACTAATAGTTCTGGTTCTACTACTCCTTTCTTAACTGTGTTCTGCTCAAATTAATATCAAAATCAGAATTTACCAAGTACCTGTAAGACAAGAGAAATCTAGGAATTTCATGAGGGTGTAGCAAAGCATAATGGTTATCTATACCTGGATAAATGGGTGAACTGACTAAGTTTTCAAATAGAAGTTCCTATTAAGAAAAAACTATTACAACACGAGATAAAATATAAAGCCCCATATACATGGATAAGCACATTTTGAAATTCAAATCCTATATTTAAATCTGTTTAGATTAAACCTATATAGCTAAAACTTTCAACTACTGAGTTTTGAAAAGTTTTTTGTTTGTTTGTTTTTCTTTTAGTAGCCTCTTTAATTTCTAATTTCAGCAAACAACACTGACTTTAAATCTGTAAGCCAGGAACTGTGCTTCTCTTTTTCACTACTGTATCCCTAATGGCTAGAATAGCACTTTACTTATACTCAAGACTAAATGTTTTTTAAATGAATAATCCAGTAATGCATCTGCATCATTAGATTTCTAAGAAAACATAAGAATATTCTGAGCAGTGGGCATATATGTTTAAGACTGGACATCAGAAAAATGGCATATTTGTTTACTGGTTAGGAATAATAAAGAATAAACTTATACTTTTCCACAAAGCATTCCTGAAATGTCAACTTTAACTAAATGACTTAAATTTACAAAGGATTGTTACTATGGAAGTCAGAATAAAAGTCAGTTCATTTTGAGTAATACCAAATGGAAGTCAATTTTAACTGGTTAATAAAAACTGCTCTGGGGTAAGTGTCTTCTCTTTAAATATGTTGTGATATACTGGTGATGTAGAATGAGACCTCTGCTCACAGACAGTCCTGTTTTTACCTAACCCAATTTGCCACTAATTTCTGCTCCCTCATCTGTATGAGACCTCGACCTCAAAGATGCTTTTAAAGGAACTGGAACAAGCAAACAGTATCAAGAGGTTTTTTTTTTATTTACTAAATTTGCTGAAACTAACAGCAAAGCACAATTACTATAAGCCATCTGCCGAGATGTTTAAACAACTTCATATAGACCTGCAGTTATAGTAGTCAATGAAAATGAATACTGGCTCTAATAAAGTCAACTGTATAAATCCTACAGCCAGCATTATCTTGTCAATAAATCAGTGTGAGTAAAAGGTTAACAAAACCTTTTTCCTTCTCCATATAAAAAATGACCTCTAGTTAACCTTCCGGCGCTGTTTCCCTGGAAACCTGATAAAGGTGAGATACCAGCCATGTTTCTAAGCAACACTGTTTGTGGTAAAAATGATTTGTTGGTGAGCTATATCCAGATTGAGAGGACAGTGTTCAGGGCTGTATGTGCCCAGTGGGAAGTATAAATAGGGGCCTGAGTGGGATATGACTTATAACTGGCTGAGACCTGGTGCCATGCCCATGTGTTATTACAAGAGACACTGTTTCCTGTAGAGCATGCAGCAGTTAAGACAGGGTGGCGTCCACTCCTACCCATGTGTCATCATTCCCCAGACCTCGGAACAACACACCTGATGCTGACATGCTGGCCTTTTATCCCTTCTCTTTCAACAAAGCAGGGAGAGGCTGGTGCCTGGTATGGTCTATTGGGTCTTGTGAGTGTGAATGTCCAGCCAACTCCAAAACCACTGTTGCTCGTCATGCAGAATGAACGAGGCAATAAGTTATCCTTTAAAGTATGTCCTATGTGGCAAAACGTTTGTGAAATATATCATCAGAAGAGAAGGATTATTTGTCAAGTTCTTTTGCATGCTGAAATGTATTTTCGGATAACATCTTAGCATCATAAACAATGAAGGAAAAATGATGAGTTTAATATACCCAAAGTTAAATCAAAGTTTATACCAAATACAAGGGTTGCTTAGTGGTAAAGAACATTAGACCTGTTCCACATAGAACACAGAAATATAGTCAATAACCTCTCATCATCCATTACTCTTTACATCATTTTTGGATGTGTACTTTTAACCTTATGGCTAAATCCATTTCTCAATTCTGCACCTGATCTCACATGTCAAACATTTCAAAAGCCCATCAATCTGTGACTTTCAACTACTCCCAGTAACTCCTTAATTACTTAACTATCTGGGAATCTGTTAAGCGAGCTCTCTTATAAAAAGTAAACCTCACCTGCTAATAAATCCAATGGATTTTTCTCAATCCATATTACAACACCCCACCCCCAAAGTGGCAATCCCCGTTTCCTCCTCCAGCTTCAAGTATATTCAAATTCCTGTTTCTCTCTGACCTATCCCCTAAATGTAAGCATTTCCCAAGGTCTTGTCCACTGTCTTTTGAATTACTGCATTCTTTCCCTCAGTCATTTCATTCCTTCTCATGGATCCAACTATCACACCTGTGTGTGAATTAGTCCCAGTAGACACATCTACTTTCAACTCAACTTATCCGTTCCTCAAGTACCTGATGCTTCACTGACACCTCAGACTTACCCAAAACTAAACTTATTTTCCTCCCCACCCAGTATTTTGCATGCTTTACATTAATTATGAAAAAGCATGGTGTGTACATAAATACATTTTTAAAAATACAGGTTTGATTTTGAGTCTTAATATATAGTATGTAGACTAAAATTTATGTGTTAACAGTATCAAAATAGTTGTTAATTATGTATTACAGTATCAAAAGTAAGTACCTCATTATAACATGCATCAGTCTTATATTTAAATAATATTTTTTGTGCTTTCTTTCTAAATGAAGTGGTCTGAGGTGTCATATTGGTATTATTAGGAAATAATCTACTGAATCCATGACTAATCTTTATTATAATGTACAGACAGATATATTTATCATTATTTTCCTTTTAAAAGAATGGTTTTGAAATATTAGAGACATCTTGAAATGTTATATAAGAACATTGATCATATGATGCAATTTAAAGATACAGTAATAACCATCTTGAGAATTTTATGGTCTTAAGTAACTTGTGATAGTCACCACTACTGCTCTGTATGCTTCCTGTCTTTAAATTTAAGTCCACTATGGGTATACAACAACCAATTAAAGACCAAAAATAAAAACAATTTGAACCGTAAAGCTGTCAGACACCACTACTGCTCTGTATGCTTCCTGTCTTTAAATTTAAGTCCACTACGGGTATACAACAACCAATTAAAGACCAAAAATAAAAACAATTTGAACCGTAAAGCTGTCAGATCACCATGCTAGCTAGCAGTGTTAACAAAATGATAAGTCACCTGAGTGTGTGATGGCCATGCTCATCTGATCTCCACTGATTATCTTACCTGCTCCCTCATCTATGTACTCAGAGGATCACAAATTATTCCATTTTTAAGGAAAATATTTAAATAACTATTTTATCAAATGACACTTAAAAAAAATAAGGATGAAAGACCAAAATTATGCCCACTCCTAATGATATGAGACCTGAGAATACCACTGCAGGCCCCCAGGGGAGTTGTCACACCCAGTCTGGACACGATGGAGGCAGTCCTATAGTTAGTTTCCCAGCCTCTTCCTAAGGGGATGGTCATGAGATTCCAACACAGACTACCACACCATACAAAGACTAAAGAAAATGCCACAAATGATATGTGCAGACACCTGCTATGTGAATCACAGTACCTAGGCACTGTAGGGTATTTAAAAATGATAAATGTTCTACAGTCCTTGTCTTGAGTAGCTCATGATCTACTAAGTAGCTCTCAAGCAACTCATGAGCTACTCAGAAAACAGATGCAGACCTCTATACCTGCACATAAGTTCATTTAATTATAGAGGAGACAAAGAAAATCAAAGAAAGGTCACGAGTGTCCTTAAATATAGCAAAAGAAAATCAAAACCTTAATTATGTGTCCTTTACAACCTAATTTTAATAATCTCTGAATTTTATCAAGCTTGATTACCTATTGAATACAAGTGGAAACTTATGCAAACTTTAAAAAAAATAGGACAAAGCACAACTTCAAGGTTAAGAAACTCTCTTACTTTGCATCAAACAACTGTCTACGCCACTCATTTTTATTCATTTAGCATATTCTGATATTCAGCATAATCTAAATAATACTTGGAAAGGATAGTATAGAAGAAATTACAACAGATGAACTGGATGAGCTTTAATTAAGGTTCCTACTAACTCCCAGATCTTTCTATACCAAGGTTCTCAAAAGGTGGTCAGAGTCCTGGAGTCCCCAAGATCCTTTCAAGAAGTCCACAAGATCAATATTATACTCATAATAATATTAAGACATTCTGTTCTGCATTCAGACTGATGGTGCATATGCAATGATGGGTAAAACTGCTGGTGCCTCAGCAAGAATCAAGGCAGTGGCACCAACATGTTGGAGTCACTGTGTTCTTTATCACTATGAATTCACAGTAACAAGGGGAAAAAAGCCAGTTTTACTTATGAATGTCATTGAAGCACTAAAAATTACTAACTGAATTATATCTCAACCAATAAATACACATCTTTTTAATATGTGTGACAAATGCGTGACAAAGTGAGAAGTGCACATAAAGCCTTCGTGGGTGTGTACCGAAATATATTTGAATTCTGGGTGGAACTAGCTGTTTTTAGCCAACATTATTATTTAAAAAGACAATTGACAAATTATCCTTTTTTGTCTTTTTTCGTGTCCGGCAACGGATCGCAACCCTCAGTGTCGCGCCCGTACCGGACCCGACCGGCAACGGGATCGCAACCCTCAGTGTTGCGCCCGCACCTTGCTCAGCCAGTGAGCGGGAACCGGTCTGTATGTGGGATCTGAACCCTCAGCGGGAGCGCCGCCGTGCTCTCAAGCGGCGCACTGTAGCAGTGCGCCACCGGGTTGGCCCGACAATTGACAAATTATGATTATTAAGACTTAGGTGTTTGGTAGACATTTTCTGGAAAATCCGTGAAGTTGCCAAAAGCTCCTCAACACTTAGAAACTTTTCTGATGGCATTGTGGTGGTTGTGATATTAACAAATGTGATTTACAATAATCCATTAACTGTCACCATTTGGAAGAATCTGCATAACTCAGTAATCCAATATATTCCAAATGACCAATGATGACACAAAATCAATTAGATGTGAGTAAATAATTCATTATAAGATAAAGCAATAGATTTTAAGGTAACAGATGAAAACTTCTTTGATATAGGTTACAGACGCCACAATATAACTGACCTTGAAGGAACTACCACCTGTTGAGTGTTAGAGTAGTACTAAAAAGTATCTACAGTTCTCTGAGAAGACTATTAAACTACCCCTCCCTTTGCAACTACGTATTTGAGTGACTCTGATTTTCTTCCTATATTTCACCTAAAAGAGCCGGAATTCAGAAACATATGATAATCTGCCTGTCTTCTATTGAGCAGACATTAAAGCTATTTACAAAAAGTGAAACAATTCCATACTCCTATTTTTTGCAATTATGGTTGTTTCACATAAAATGTGATTTATGTTAATACGTAATAAATAATTGTTATTTTTAATTAAATTGAATATTTTATAAACTCCCGGTGTTAATTTTTAACAGAATAAATACCTACACAATCCATACATACTAAAATTCAGGGACCCTCAATAACTTTTTTAAAATGTAAAGGGGTCCTAAGATCAAATTTTTGAGAACCACTGTTCTATACTAACTATATAACTTTATTTCCTTTTCCCCCAGAAACTTGCATTCTTCAAATTAAGAACTATGTACTATATTTACTTAAATCCTTAGTATATTATAATTATAAACATATTTAAGGCTCTTAGTAATATTTTATCCAAATTAAAAATAAAGAATAACAAATATATCAAAAATTGAATTCACACAATGGAAGTGGATGGATTTTAATTATTATTGCCATAATAACTATGGAGTAAACTGGACAAATCTAATTTTTATCACAGATAAAATTATATTTTAATAAAGTTTGGATCTATCCCATAAATTAAATTCTAATTATTCTAATTATTTTGTATTGTAAACGTGTACGCTGTATTGCACCGTATATATCTGACTTACTTATTCTGCGGTTCCTACTAACTCCCAGATCTTTCTATACCAAGGTTCTCAAAAGGTGGTCAGAGTCCTGGAGTCCCCAAGATCCTTTCAAGAAGTCCACAAGATCAATATTATACTCATAATAATATTAAGACATTCTGTTCTGCATTCAGACTGATGGTGCATATGCAATGATGGGTAAAACTGCTGGTGCCTCAGCAAGAATCAAGGCAGTGGCACCAACATGTTGGAAGGGCTTCGCGCCGCCGGCTCCCCGCGACCCCCTGGAAGGTGCGGACTCCCCGGGGCCGCACTTACTCAGACTTGCGGGTAGGCTGCGCAGTGGGCCGCGGGCACGAAACCGGGCGCCGCGCAGCAGCGTTCCCCCGCGCCGCTTCCGTCGCTCCTCATCGTCCTCCTCCAGCCGAGGGGTCGCCGCCGTCGCCACAATCTACCCCGGAGCTCCTGCGGCGCGGCCGTCGGCTGCTCCACTTCCGGCCCCCGCTTGGGTGTCGCCGGCAAATGCCCCCGCCGGCTCGCACATAACCTGTTCTCCGTCTTCCTCTCGGGAGCGGGAACCCAGCCCGCCCTCCTGGGCATGCGCACAAGCGGCTGGCCGGAGTTCCGTGACGGTGGCCCAGACGGAAACTAGACCTCAGCGCCGCTCCCTGCCCCGCGACTGAAGGCTCACCGCCTCTCGGTCTCTCTCCGAGCACCGGGGGAACCTCCCGTCCCACACCCGAGGCCTCCGGGGTGAGAAAGAGCCGTACTCGACCCCGGGTAGGGCCGACCCGGAGCCGGTGACCTCGGAGAGCGCACCAGATCGCTCTGCGGGACGCAGTTTTTACAGAAGAAACTGTGTCTACCTCCCACGGTTGTTAGGGTGTCGAAGTTCCAGGATTTAAAGTGCTGCCGTAACTATTTTTCTTTTTTTCACCTCTGTGAGAGTAGACCTTCGAGGGCACATGCAGGTTTTCTGTGAGACCTGAACCTTGTACAATATGTAGGGCCCATTTAAAAAGAAAGAATGCAAAATTACCTTATTTTTGCAAATTTTACAAGACCATGGGAATACGTTGTTAGGGGGTCTTGAGAGTGGCCCCACTAATGGGCCCTTTAAAACCTTGAGCTTCCTTAGCTTCACTGCCAATCACCCTGTGCACCAAATGGTACTGAGTTGTTTGTTTACAGATATCTGTCCTCCCCCCCCCCCCGTCGTTCACTATTCTGTGCACCCTGTATTATACATACAGAGGATATTTCATTAGTTTCTGTTGTTCTTTGTTTGCTTTTTAACGCATGTATTCTGCTACCAGATCTAGAGCTCCAGCTCAAAGCTGGACTCTTGATTAATAGCTTCCCATTGTTGAACACCTAATAAGTGACAAGCACTAAAGTAGCCCATTTACATAAATAAACGAATAATCACAACAAACTAGAAGATACTTAGTGAAAAACCCTTGATTCTCTTTTAACTAAGTAGCTAAAATAACATAATAAATTGGAGACTGTACATTGAATTAATTTGGAGGTTGTCTGTTTTCATAATTCATGTTTCCTCTCAGCACTAAAAGTCCAGTCTCTGACACTGTAGGAGCTCAGTTGATGTTGAAACGCACACAGACAAGTGCCCTCTCAGTTGCCAGATGGAGACTCCTCTAACTTAACACAGTTGGGCACTCCTCCAAAGTAAACTGATAATTAAGTTGAATAGTAGGTCGAGAAATTATTCACAAAACAGTTATCATGTGACTTTAAAACATCGCAGATGATTTCAGAGAAATAGGTAATTTAGGAGAATTAGACAAAGAAAATAAACGGATGTTGTTGTGTTAGGAGCCCAGGGTTCTAGCTTCTCTAGCAACTAGCACTGTGAATTAAATGTCAACTTTATAAAATGAGGTTTTTGTACATTAAACAACCCCTCAGGGCAGCTCTAAAAGTTTTATTAAAGCCCATTACAGCAAAATTCACTTTCATCTTAAGGCAGAAATATTTTATACTAAAAGGAAATAATTCTAAAATTTATTTAACCATTAATTGGGGATAATTTCTCAATTCTCCATGGTGGAATAGGACAGACCATAGCAAAATTTCAATGGAAATCAACGGCTCCTGGAACGTAAGGACTGAATTCGTTTTCATCTCACTCCTGAGTATCTCACGCAATTACTATATCATAATAGGTGCTCGGTAAAAGTTTGTCAAATAACTTCATATTGAATTCTTGAACGGATAGTTCTGGGCATTTAACTGTTTGTTTCTGTATTATAAATTATGTATTATTATGAATTATTTCTGTATTAAGACATAAGAACTCAGATAACAGTAGCAAATATCATAAAAATCAGCCTTAGAAAATTTTGCCAAAGCGTATTTTTCTATCTAAATGTAACAGCAGCGTTTGGGGAATGAGGATGACTTCTCTCCTTGGCGCTTTAACAGTCAACCAGTGAAATGTTTTACACACAGAGAACAAGAGCTAGGAAAGCTCAGGGTCCTAGAAACAAGCCAGTAAACGAAGTGCTCTTCGGTTTCGCTCAAAGACGCAATCCACTCGTGTGTGGGTCAACTGCTTGCAAAGAGCACCTGTCGCACAGTTCAACGGGAGCTGTCTTTGCAGTGACAGCTTCAGGCTCCCTCCGGTCCTCCTTCCGCTCCCGGCGCCCATCCGGAGAGACACTGCGCCTGCGAGCATCGGCCCCATGACGTCACGGTCCCGGGGGCCCCGCCCCCGCCCCCCCCCCATCACCACTGCGCCGGCGCGAAGAGCAGTGGGCGGAAACGGCTTTTTCTGGCTCCAGCTTCCGGTCCGGCGGCGGCGCCTCAGACTGTGATAACAGGCGGCAGGTGTCGGCGGTGGGGCTGCATAGACGTGACCTCGGAGTCAACGGAGGGAGCGAGAGGTGAGGCGTGGGCGGGGGGACGATCGGCGAGGGGGACCTGTGCGGTTTCCTCAGTCTGGCAAGCGTTTGTTGTCTTCAACGTTCATTTTTCTTATGTTTGGTCGACAAACCCTGTGGTTTATCCGCCTCCCCGGTTTCCCGGCGTCCGCTGCAGTAGAAGCCAGGCCTCTTGATTCCGGGCTCTTTAGCAAGGCCCAGACCCCTGGGGCGGGGACTGTCATTTCTACCGTGTCTGACTGTCAAGAACTGTGCTGCGTGATAACCCCGCAGGAAACTGTGACGGTCCCATTTTACAGGTGGGACCCGAGAGGCTCCGAGAAGTAACGGGTTCGTCCGAGGCCTGGTTTTCACTCTGGACCCATGGGGGGGGGAGGGGCGGAGGGAGTAGGGGGTGATGGAGACCCGTCGGGATTTTGCAAGAGGGTGCAGGTGGAATTGGAGTGGGAGAGGTGTAGGCTGGGAGGGAATTGCTTTGCGGAGGGAATTGCTTTGCTTCTCTTCTTACACTTTGTTTTTCTTTAACTTTCGGGATGCGAGTCTTATCTTTTCCTACCGCTCATTTCTTTGCTCTTAGATTCTCCAAGATGTCATCACTAAGTGCTGTGGAAGGTAGGCTGCTGTAAACCGTGTAGCTCATGTAGGGAAACAACGTGTCAAGGCTGGCTTGAAGGAAACTTCAGTTGTGCTAGTCACTCTTTTTTTTTTTTTTTTTCACAGTAAATAACAATCATCTTCCATGTTCACTGAATAAAACCTGATTGTTTTGTGTCACATCAGGACCATACAGGGAGTAGCTGAATGGATGATGAGTCATTGTGTAGTAGTTAGTTGCAGTCATTCTCTTGAAAGAAACATTCGCTTTGTTTATCACTGTTCCAGAGTGAAATGTTCCACCCCTTTTTCCTCCCTTCTTCTCTGCTAGGGAGTAGCTGAATGGATGATGAGTCATTGTGTAGTAGTTAGTTGCAGTCATTCTCTTGAAAGCTTTGTTTATCACTGTTCCAGAGTGAAATGTTCCACCCCTTTTTCCTCCCTTCTTCTCTGCTTAGTATTTTTGCAAAGTTTATGTTTCAAATGTTGCTTGGACTGACAAGCATTATAGTACTAAAATTATCAAAATGCCAGGTACTGTGTTAAGCACCTTATGTAGATTATCTCATTTCATTCTCGTTTCTACATAGTTTTTAATCCCATTTTACACTTAAGGAAACTGAAGTTCAGAGAAATTAAGTAATTGCCCTATAGCACACAGCTGTGAAATGCATGTCCACATTTGAACTCAAGACTTAGATTAGACTCCAGAATCTGAGCTCTAATCACAGACTTCTTGTTTGTCTTATTGCAAGTGGAAAGCATTAGCTAAAAACCTCAAAATCCAAAAAAAATAAATTAGAGAGCATGTAAAAAACAATGGAAATCTTAATCTTTGACTTTTTATGCAATTGTAATGAGCAAACATATTTGCCTATTTATTTTATATTAATTTCGGAATCCTTGATGATATCTATATAGCTATTTTAGTATACATGTGTATCCACACCACTATCTAAATTTCGTTATTACTGTAAAATAATTTGAGTCTTTGTCTGGGATATGTTGAGGGAAACTTTGACTTTGAGAATGTATAGAATCTACAGGATAAATGTGTAGAAACAGTATGATAATACTTGAACATTCAAAGAAGTACTTCTTAACATACTTTATGTTACATACATTATGTATAAATCATAAATAGAGCATTGGTACTATAATGTACCCACTTGAGGGAGTATGTTTTGAGAGGTGGGACAGTGAACATACATAACCAGGTGGTACAGTCAGTTATGCAAAACGGAGCCAGTGAGGGCAAGCAGTTACTATAAACAAAGATAAAAGTCTCAGGAAAGTGGTCTCTCATGGGTTTATCTCTTGATCTAACCCACTCAGTAGAAGCTGGGTTTCCTTAGTAAATTAGACTGAGAAGTGCAGCTTTTTCTCTGGAGATCACCACATGGCCATTGTGAACCATTGCCAGTGCAACCAGAGCTGCTGAATGTTTTTAACCAAACTGAATCCCAAGAGTCATGCTGGGGGTGGGGTGGGGAATGTGTGTGTATAAGCAGCCCATGGCCTTTTCTAGTGTGCTTCTCCAGGAATCAAGTCTAGGTAGTCAGTAATTCATTCAGCAAAAAATCATACTATGTGTCTGCCACTAGTGGAACAAATTACAACTAATTTATAACGAGACTGCTAGTTTAGTAAATGTGGTATGGTAACTAGCCATTTGATTTGTTTTTACTAGATACTGGTAATGTAGCCTTGTGCTGATTGTGTGTGTGTTTCTCTTTTGTTTGCTGGGGTGGGGAATCTCATGGTCTCTGCACTGTGATAGATCTCCCCACTCCCTGGAAGCTTCTCTGACTCCCTACTGCCTGAGTGTCATGGTGGTGTTCCAGGAAGTGTCTGTAACCACAAGATAAAATATGGTTCATTTTACTTGAAGTCTTTTTTGGAAAAGTTAATTTATTTTAACTTTATATAAACTATATTAAAATAACTGCGATATAGATTCCACTAGAACTTGCATGAATATTTAAAACTTCAAAGAACGTTCACACTTGTAGTAACCACTTTAGGAAATATTCTAGACCCTAGCCCAGCAAGGGACCCAATATTTCTTCTTTGACTTTAGAAGATACTTTAGTGAAAAGCTCTGTCTCAGGACATTTTACTTCTGTTTTATTTTTGTTAAAACACTAAGCATTTTATTATAATTAGTTCCCATGATGTCCCTTTTTCTTTACAAAATATATGCTCTTTTAAAGCCGAAACATATTGTACTTGCCCACAGCACGGTGCCTGGCTCACGTGTAGTCAGTGAATACTTGGGGAATAACTGGCATGGGAATGTAAACATAAAAGCATTCTAATGAATTTGAATTTATAGAACTGTAAGTAACTGTGACAAAATAGGCTGGAAGGTAACGTGAGGATTCTATGGGAGGGTATGTTGAGTTGGGTTTTGAATGCTGGAGTGATTTTGCGTAGCTAGTAGCGAAGAAAGTAAACACAGACACATGCTGTGTTTGGCTGGGAGAAGAAGATACCTGTTTTTATTTATTTATTTTTTTTGTCAAAGGTACCTGTCTCCCCCCCTCCCCCAATTAGGATTTCAAGCTTCCTAGGAAGTCAGATTTCAATTCAGTGAGCGAGTGATTTGTTAAAAAATATCCTTCTTAATAAGTTTGTTTCTGGTGCTATGTGGTGGTATGACAGAAAGAAGAGACATTCAGGGAAGGACCTTTCCTCAGAGGCCCAGAAAGGAAGTGAATGGAGCATGATTTGCTTCTCTGTCAATATTCTTTTGCATTATTTAGTAAATAATTAAGCACTAGAATAATTCAATGAAAGTTGGATTTAGGGAGAAATGACTTTTTCAGTGTTATAAATATAGGAAGTGGGGCTGGTGATGCTTTTGATAATAATTGCTGATTAGGATTAAAGTAAAATAGTTATTAAATGTAGAGGTTGCAAATATATATCATGTATAGTATTGATCTGTTTTCACTGAGCAAACATTAGTAACCATTTATGATGATCCAGGTGATCTCTGTAAGGTCTTTACATTAAATACTTAGTCGAATTTTATCTTAAAGTTATCCTCTTTTTGCTTTATTAGTTAAACCAGAGGACTCACCACCACCTCCATGGCTGCCTCACAAGCTTCACAGACTGTTGCATCTCATGTTCCTTTTTCAGATTTATGTTCTACGTTAGAACGAATACAGAGAAGTAAAGGACGTGCAGAAAAGATCAGACAATTCAAGGAATTTTTAGACTCTTGGAGAAAATTTCATGATGCCCTTCATAAGAACCAAAAAGATGTCACAGACTCTTTTTATCCAGCAATGAGACTTATTCTTCCTCAGCTAGAAAGAGAGAGAATGGCCTATGGAATCAAAGAAACTATGCTTGCAAAGCTTTATATTGAATTGCTTAACTTACCTAGAGATGGAAAAGACGCCCTTAAACTTTTAAATTACAGAACACCGACTGGAATTCATGGAGATGCTGGTGATTTTGCAATGATGGCATACTTTGTGTTGAAACCAAGGTGTTTACAGAAAGGAAGTTTAACTATACAGCAAGTAAACGACCTTTTAGATTCAGTTGCCAGCAATAATACTGCCAAAAGAAAAGACCTAATAAAGAAGAGTCTTCTTCAACTTATAACTCAGAGTTCAGCACTTGAACAAAAGTGGCTTATACGGATGATTGTGAAGGACTTAAAGCTTGGTGTTAGTCAGCAAACTATATTTTCTGTTTTTCATAATGATGCTGCTGAGTTGCATAATGTCACCACAGATCTGGAGAAAGTCTGTAGGCAACTGCATGATCCTTCTGTAGGACTTAGTGATATTTCTATCACTTTGTTTTCTGCCTTTAAGCCAATGCTAGCTGCCATAGCAGATATTGAGCGCATTGAAAAGGACATGAAACAACAGAGTTTCTACATTGAAACTAAGCTAGATGGTGAGCGTATGCAAATGCACAAAGATGGAGATGTATATCAGTACTTCTCTCGAAATGGATATAACTATACTGATCAGTTCGGTGCTGCTCCACATGAAGGTTCTCTTACCCCATTCATTCATAATGCATTCAAAACAGATACACAAGTCTGTATCCTGGATGGCGAGATGATGGCCTACAACCCTAATACACAGACTTTTATGCAGAAGGGGAATAAGTTTGATATTAAAAGAATGGTAGAAGATTCTGATCTGCAGACTTGTTATTGTGTTTTTGATGTATTGATGGTTAATAATAAAAAGCTAGGACATGAGACTCTGAGAAAGAGGTATGAGATTCTTAGTAGTACTCTTACAACAATTCCTGGTAGAATAGAAATAGTGCAGAAAACACAAGCTCATACTAAGAATGAAGTGATTGATGCCTTAAATGAAGCAATAGATAAAAGAGAAGAGGGAATCATGATAAAACATCCTCTGTCCATTTATAAGCCAGACAAAAGAGGTGAAGGATGGTTGAAAATTAAACCAGAGTATGTCAATGGACTGATGGATGAATTAGACATCTTAATTGTTGGAGGCTATTGGGGTAAAGGTTTACGGGGTGGACTGATGTCTCATTTTTTGTGTGCAGTAGCAGAGAAGCCCCCTTCTGGTGAAAAGCCATCTGTGTTCCATACTCTCTGTCGAGTTGGCTCAGGTTATACCATGAAAGAACTGTATGATCTGGGTTTGAAATTGGCCAACCATTGGAAGCCGTTTCATAAAAAAGCTCCACCAAGTAACATTTTATGTGGAACAGAGAAGCCAGAAGTTTACATTGAACCTTGTAATTCTGTCATTGTTCAGATTAAGGCAACAGAGATTGTCCCCAGTGACATGTATAAAACTGCTTGCACGTTGCGTTTTCCACGAATTGAAAAGATAAGGGATGACAAAGAGTGGCATGAATGCATGACTCTGGATGACTTGGAACAACTTAGGGGAAAAGCATCTGGAAAGCTTGCATCTAAACACCTTTATGTAGGTGGTGATGAAGAGCCACAGAAGAAAAAGCGGAAAGCTGCCCCAAAGAAAGTGATTGGAATTATTGAACACTTAAAAGCACCTAATCTTTCTAACATAAATAAAGTTTCTAATATATTTGAAGATGTAGAGTTTTGCGTTATGAGTGGAACAGACGGCCATCCAAAACCTGACCTGGAGAACAGAATTGCAGAATTTGGTGGTTACATAGTACAAAATCCAGGTCCAGATACGTACTGTATAATTGCAGGGTCTGAGAACATCAGAGTGAAAAACATAATTACTTCCAATAAGCATGATGTTGTCAAGCCTGCATGGCTTTTAGAGTGTTTTAAGACCAAAAGCTTTGTGCCATGGCAGCCACACTTCATGATTCATATGTGTCCATCAACAAAAGAACATTTTGCTCGTGAATATGATTGCTATGGTGATAGTTATTTTGTTGATACAGATTTGGACCAACTCAAGGAGGTATTCTCAGGAATTAAAAATTCTAATGAACAGACTCCTGAAGAAATGGCCTCTGTGATTGCTGATTTAGAATATCGTTATTCCTGGGACCACCATCCTCTTAGTATGTTTCGAAACCACACCATTTATTTGGACTTGTATACTGTTGTTAGTGACTTGAGTACCAAAATTGAGGGAACAAGACTAGCTATTAAAGCCTTGGAGCTTCGATTTTATGGAGCAAAAGTAGTTTCTTATTTAGCTGAGGGAGTGTCTCATGTAATCATTGGGGAGGATCACAGTCGTGTTGCAGATTTTAAAGCTTTCAGGAGAACTCTTAAGAAAAAGTTTAAAATCCTACAAGAACGTTGGGTAACTGATTCGATAGACAAGTGTGAATTACAGGAAGAAAATCAGTATTTGATTTAAAGCTAGCTTTCCTAATGAGGAAAGGCTCTGATTTGGAGACTTGCAACAGGTGGTGGTAATGAGGAAATATTAAACTGTTTAATTTTTGTCTCTTAAAAAGTATTATTAGATATAGGAAAACAATATCTTTAACTTTTGAGATTGGGAAGACAGCAAATGGCCAAAAGCCAAGAAAGAAGTTCTTAGTAGTATAATATGATTTTTATAACCAATAGGAAATAATTAAACAGTTTAAAGAAATGTTTAATATCCCTATAGAAATCTAGAATTTTGACTCATTAATAAAATACATTTAGAAGCTTTTACAGGCTTTAAAAGTATTGACCTTCTAAACAGAATTTTCTGAAATCAAATCAAAATTGTGATAGTTTTTATTTTATAAAAGCATTGCAAGAAAAAAGGACAGAATTGTTACAATTGGACTTGTAAAAATGTCTTTTTACTTGAAGGCTGAAATGCCTCTTTTAAATATGAAATGTTGTAAACTATTTTTTAACGTTAAGGTTAAATGAGTTGCTATATTCTTGTCATTTTAGCTAGATTTGGGGAGGTCAATGAGATTTAATGGTCTAAATATTTGAATTGGTTTAGTTTAAAACAAAAATGTTGCAATTTTTAAAGCAGTTAGCCCACATTCTTTTTTTAAAAATAGAACATGTTTTGCTTAAAGTATTTCTATGTGAATTTGTACTCTAGTATTAATAGTATTTATAAACTGATATTCCTAATATAATCTATTGTGTAGGTGTCAAAATAGCATGCATAACTTTCATTAGAAGTAAATTGCTTTATCTTTTTATAAAGACTTTTGAATTAGGTTATTTAAAGTCAATGTATGTAGCATATATTATTATGTACCATATTTTGGAGTACAGTCTATATTTTAAAAAATATGTTTTATGATCATGTTGAAATGCATGGAATTCACTACTTTGTATAGATTATTTGAAAGTTATTAGTAATTTTATCCAGACACTGAAACTAATGTGTGTGATTTTTGTTGTACTTCTTAATTTAAATAAAATAATATACTATTAAAATAATTTCTTATGTTCTGTTGCTTTATTTTAAAACAATTCCTAGTGGTTAGATAGCTTCTGTGGTGTCAGTACAGTTTTTGACTGGTTCCTGTTAAGATCCTTTGTATTTCACATTACCAAATGAGCTTTATTAAAAATTTTAAACTTGTATATTTTTATATATTAAGAAAAATTACAAAATTTAGGTAAGTGTAGTGGAGAAAAAAAGCTCACAATTTTACGACCAAAGATAATAACATTTACTATTTCAGGTTATCAAAGGTAAGGGAAGTATAAAATAAATATTTAGTGTAACAACCATAAAGCAAACTATAATGCTTTTTTCCATCAGCTTTTCTCACTTAATGAATCTTGAGAATATTTAAAGGTCACTAAATACGCCTTCATTACTTTGTTTTGTTTTGTTTTGTTTTGGCAGCTGGCTGGTAGGGGGATCTGAACCCTGGACCTTGGTGTTTATACCCTCACTATAATTGCTGTACAATTTTCCATTTAGTGTATTGTGATGTATCTAGGTAGACCAGTGTTCAAGTTTTAGGTTATTTCACCATGCTACTCCCACCTTTCTTTTCTTTTCCTGTTAAGCATTGTTGTGAGTCTTTTACATAGTCTGAACACTAGGCACTAGTCCTGTTTTATAGTTTACATTCCTATGTGTTACGTGTTTTTCAATGACTTTTGATGTGCATTGAAAAATCCCTTCAAAAATCCTTTTCTCGATACTTCTTTTCCTCCGTTCTAAATGTTGGAGAGTTCAGTTGCTCAGTGCTGGACTTGTTCCCTGTTATTCACTTTGTAGGCATTCTTATTCTGTCCCATGGCTTTAAATATACTGATTAGTCCCATATTCCATTAGCCCCAATTTCATTGCTGAACTACAGTTTATGTATCTATCTACATAGCACTTCCACATGCAGTCTAAGGGGCCTCTCAAGCTCAGTATGTCCAAACTTTTTTTAAAGTTTTATGCCAAAGAGAAAGGTATAATGGACCTGTATGTACACATCACCCATTTTCAACAATTATCAGTGATCAATCTTTTTTCATATTTACATGCCTCCAGATTATTTTGAAGTAATTCTAGATCACATAATTTTCATCTGCAAATATTTCAAAATAGAACTCTTGATTTCTCAAATGGACTTATGCTCTCTTCCAGCATTCTCCTCACTATGGTGCATCTATTCACCTAGCTGTTCAAACTAAAAACCAGAGTCGTCCTTGACTTCAGTTGTTGTCATACCTCCAAGACAGCAAATCTCGTTAGGCAGAGCTTCCAGATATGCTGACGATATGACCTCTCACCACTCTTACCAATAACTATCATCTATGCCACTAATACTGGATTGCTTTCTTTCTCCATTACTTTCTATTCTCCACAACAGTTTTTACTTTTAAAGGTGCAAGGCAGATTGTGGTACTCCCCTGGTCAAAACCACTGAACTGCAGTCATAACATCCAGTCATTAGCACAACCTGATGGACGTGGTCCTGCGGTACCTGGCTGTGGTGAGCACTCTGACTTCACTTCCTACCACTCACCCCCTTGTGTTCCGCACTCTGGCCACACCGACCTTCTAAACAACCTTCTTTGAACCTCATTCAGATCTCTCATGTTTTACTATCCCCCCACACCCCCAACACTTGCTATCCCTTTACTCTGCTTTATTCTTATCCAAGGCACTGTATTTCCTACCTCTATTTCCTACTACTAGAGTAAGAACTCCATGAATGAAGACACTTGGTTTGTTCACTGTTGTAGTCGGTCACTCAACTATATATGAAATAAATACTCTGAAGCAGACTGAAAAACATACTTCGTTCTTATTCTCTAAGGCCATGGTTTCTTGCCAAACATCAGGACAGCAGATTTACTAAGAACTCCTCCACCCTTTTCGGCATCTCTGATGACTTAGTTCTGTCCTCAGAGAGTTCATTTATTTCTTTTGGGTGAGGATTCCTTCTTTGAAAGTCAGGTGGCTGCAGTAGCTGCTTCCTACTTGTGTGTTTTGCCTGGGATCTGAGTGAACAGGGCTACTTTAGACGACTAGAGTCCTTACTTTGGGGGATGAGTTTATCTTTAAAACAGCTTGTGGAATTCTTTCAGCACTAGAACTATTCTGTACACAACTGCTCTGATTCGCTTTCAACTAGTATAATAAGCTCTTACTCCCTTTGATAATTATTTGGGTAAAAGGATGAATAAGGCAGTCCCTGCCCTCAAGGAACCCAGAGTGTACTGAAAGATAATTGGAATACAAAAGACAAGTGTTTCCCTAGTTAAAGTAATGATTTAAGGGATTGCCCTGGAAAGCCATATGGTGTGGGGAAAAGAGTGCAAGCTGTAGAATCAAGTCATTCTGGGTTCATTCCAGTTCTGCCACCAATTATCTATTATTTTGAACAATCACAACCTCTTTGAACTTTGGTTTCTAAATTTTCAAATGAAAAGAGCACCTGTCTCACCAGAATGCTTGAGGATAGATTGCACCCAGCATATAGTAAGGGCTCTGCAGCTTTTATCTGCTACTTGTACCCAGGCCCTCCCCAGTGAGGTAAATTAACCATGGAGGTGTTAATAATTGAGTAGATTCTAGGAAGTACAATTTTATCAGGTGTAGTGGTATGAGAGGTTTTCCTGGCAGAGGGAAGATTCAAAATAAAATTATCAGGGACACAAAAGTGTCTGGAGATATTTGTAAAATATTCAGATTTAGGGGAGTGGGAGAGACAGGTAATTAGGGTAGATTTTGTAAAGTCTTACACAACACACTACAGAATATGGATTATGTCTGGTGCCCAAGATAAGTGCATTGAAGAACTTTAAATTTTAGGCTCCTGTCTAGGACTTTCTTTTTTTTTAATTTCAATATTTTTAGTTGTAATTTATTTTTTGGACCACTTTACTGATGTATGATTGACATACAAAATGCTGTGCATATTTGATGTATACAACTTCATGAATTTGGAGATAAATATACAACTGTGAGACCATCACCAAAATCAAGGCCATCCATCACCTTCAAAAGTTACCTTATGCCTCATTATTTATGGATTGATTCCCCCTTTGCCTTCTTTTATTTAATCATTCACAAATACGAATGCCTCCTGAGTTCTAGGCACTGTTTCAGTTCCTGGTCAAACAGGAGTAATCAAAATGGGCAGAAATTCCTGCCTTCACTGAGTTTACATTTTAGTAATATGGAAAGGAAAATAATCAGTAATTCCTTCTGTCTGGTTTCCTGATTCTCCCTCTTTAGAGGCGTTTAACAACCCTGTACTTTAACAACACTGTATTCTCTTGCTGATGTTTCTTATTACATGCAAGCATTTCTAAAGAACTGTCTAAACTTCTAGTTTTATTTCTTGGCTTTTCATTTTTGAAATTACATATATAATTTTCTTTCAAAGTCTTTGACCTCTTTTTTGCTAAACTCCATTAATGTTAAGAGATTATTGTGCATTTACTCTCTATAAATGGAGGCCGAACCATTATTTAGCTTTAACCAAGAAGAAAAGATAATAGTGTTCTGAAGGGATGTACTTGAAACATTGAAGAAAGAAGAGAACCCACTCACCTAGTAAGGTAGATTAATCAAATAAATCTTGATAATTTCCAAGTGACATATCATGGGGAGATTGCCTTTCAAGGAACAGGTAATTCCTTTGATATTTGAAACGTTTTGGAGCATAGAAAAAACATGGAAGTCTTTTTGAATCATTTCTTAATGTTTTGTCTTCTTGATTACTACCACCTAAAGAAAATAGTATAAAATTTGGAGCAACCAGAACTCTCATACATTGGTAGTGAGAATGTAAAATGGTTCCACTTAAAAGTTATAAACCAACTCTGTCACTGAACAAATCCACTACTAGTTGTCTGCACAAGGAAAAAAAATCTGGATACAAAATAATTTTCATACATTGGTAGTGAGAATGTAAAATGGTTCCACTTAAAAGTTATACACCAACTCTGTGACTGAACAAATCCACTACTAGTTGTCTGCACAAGGAAAAAAAATCTGGATACAAAATAATTTGTACAAGAATGTTCAAAGAAGCTTTATTTATAATAGCCCCAAACTGGAAACAACCCATTTGTCTGTCAACAGGAGAAAGGATAAATAAATTGTGGTGTATACATACAGTGGAGCTCTACTCAACAACAAAAAGGAATAATAATTGATGCACAATATTGACCTTAAAAGAAACTGAGCGAATATACAGATTCCCACATAAAAACTCAACAAAATAGATAGCAAGCAAAAACCCATGGAAAACATTTATAATAGGACAAAGTCATTAGTTATCCCCTAAAAGCCAAACATAGAAATAGGTGAGGACAAACAGGTAAGCTAAGACTTGCATGGTACCTGCATTTGTGTGAAGAAAGCAGATCATATGGGTCTCAGAAGGATATGAAAAAAAACAGAAACTACATACTTAGCAGGTATTTATTGGAAAGCTCAGGAGGCAGGACTGAGAGCAGCAAGTGAGCATGAGAGGGGTTTTGTCCAATCAAACAGCAGGTGAGGAGGAGGAGCACAGGTACATCTGAAGGGGCTGGCACAGGCTGGCACCTATGAATTCTTGGAACTGAACCACCCTTGATGCTTTCTGGGACAGGACCCCATACTGAAGATAAATGCTGGGAATGGAATAAAAAGTGAGAAAACAAGGACAATAGAGACAAAAGAAATAGAAGTTTCAGATAAAGGTGTGGGGGGAATCAAAGCCAGAAATTTTAGGAAGGAAAACACCCTCATTTTGAAAAGCAAGAGATGTGAAAGTTCTGAGAAATTAGAAAAGTTACCATTAACTATGTTTTCTTCTAAATGTTCAGAGAAGCTAAGCTCACCTAAAAAGTGAACAACCAGGGGCAGGCCCGGTGGTGCACTGCTACAGTGCGCCGCTTGGGAGCGTGGTGGCGCTCCCGCCGAGGGTTCGGATCCCACATACAGACCGGTTCCCGCTCACTAGCTGAGTGAGGTGCGGGCACAGCAC